CCGGCCAATAAAGACTTAAACAACGGAGATCTCGTTAATGGCGTCCGTGAGGGGGAGAAGGGTCCCTTTAAGGGTGGATCCGCCCACCTCCCCGCCCCCTTCTGCCGTCGCCACGCCCCTTCGGCCTCCCCTGCCGCTTATTTTGGCGCTGGCTCCGCCCCCTTCCGCGGTCTCTCCGCCCCCTTCCGCGGTCTCTCCGCCCTCTCAGTCTCCTCGCTGCTTTCAGCGGTGGCTCCGCCCCCTCCCGCCGTTGCTCCGCCCCCTCAGCCTTCCCGCCCTTTCTAACGGCCGTTTCCTCTCAGGCTTCCCGCCCTTTCTAACGGCTGTTTTCCCTCAGGATTTCCGCCCTTTCTAACGGCCGTTTCCTCTCAGGCTTCCTGCCCTTTTTAACAGCCGTTTCCCCTCAGGATTCCCGCCCTTTTTAACAGCCGTTTCCCCTCAGGCTTCCCTCCCTTTCTAACATCCGTTTCCTCTCAGGATTTGCGCCCTTTCTAATGGCCATTTCCCCTCAGGATTTCTGCCCTTTCTAACGGCCGTTTCCTCTCAGGCTTCCCGCCCTTTTTAACGGCCGTTTCCCCTCAGGCTTCCCGCCCTTTCCAATGACCATTTTCCCTCAGGCTTCCCGCCCTTTTTAACGGCCGTTCCCCCTTCATTTCCTCACAGACTGAGGCGCGAAGGCGTCCCGGTGGGTAACCGTGGGGAAGGGGGGAGACGGACGGACACACGGACACCCAGGCAGGCGGCTGCCCCCCACTTCCCCGCTCCCCTCTTCTTCCTCACCCCCTCCCAGCATGGACTGGTTCCAGTACAACCGCTGCTTATGCCAAGAGGGAGCCCGCTTTGCCGTCGCCAGGTGCGGCCACATCCTCCGCACAGTGTGCAGGGGCGCAGGTAGGAGCCCCTTCACCCCCACAAAATGGAGGGGCACCCGCCTCATCTTGAACCCCTAAAATGGCGGAAGGGAAGGAGCCCACTCACCTTAACCTCCTAAAATGGTGAAAGGGAATGACCCCCCTCACCTCATATCCATAAAATGGTGGAAAGGATGGACCCCCGTCACTTCATATCCATAAAATGGCGGAAGGGAGGGATGCCCCCTCACCTTATATCCATAAAATGGCGGAAGGGAGGGATGCCCCCTCACCTTATATCCATAAAATGGTGGAAGGGAGGGATCCTGTCACCTTCTATCCATAAAATGGTGGAAGGGAGGACCCCCCCTCCACCTTTCACCTCACCAAATTGTTCCCCCTCCCATCACGCCAACATTTTTCCCTCACAACCGCCATTTCGGAGCGACCCCGATGTCTCTCCCCTCATACAGGTCCGTGCCCTGTCTGCGCCGCTGACTGCCGCTACCTCCCCATCTCCGACAAGGTGAGTTGCTGCCCCATCCTGGCTGCCATTTTGAACCCTTCTCCTCCTTGGTCCCCCGGCCACCTTTGTGAACCTTCCTCATCCTCCATTGCCGGCCGCCATCTTCCTTCCCTCCCCACAGATGCGCCCGCAGGAGAAACTCTTCTTCAAGAGCCCGGCTGACATCGCCCTCAAGCACCTGACCCACATCTCCCAGGTGAGGAAGAGGAGGAGGAGGATGGAGGGCAGCCCACCCCACACCAGCCATGGGGCCAGCCCCACAGCCTCTGCCCCACAGGTCTGGCGTTCCAGCGGGCGCAGTCCAACCTGCTGCTGGCCTCTCACAAGGAAGCCGCACGCCGTGCCCGGGCGGCGCTGGAGGACGTCCGCCATGTCCTGGACACCCGCAATAGGTGACAGCCTCCCCTCCTAGGGCCGCCATCTTGAGAGGGGTCTGTCCCACTCGGTGCCATCTTGGGAGTGGCCGCCATCTTGGTGAGGTCTGCCCCACACACCCCCTCCCAGCCGCCATCTTGGGAGGGTCTGCCCCCCTCCAGTGCCATCTTGGGGAGGGTCCACCCTCTCGGCCGCCATCTTGGTGAGGTCAGCCCCACACCCCAACTCCCCCAGCCACCATGTTGGGGGTCCACCCCCCATCACCCCCCC